CTAATAAAATCCTTCTCTGCTTTCTCTCCAGACGAGACTCTTCACCTCTCAGATATAAATACTGAAAACCTCATTCGAATGATTTGACTCTGCCTTTCTTTCTTTCTCCCTTTTCAAGAGATAATTATGATTTACAATTTCCTCCTGTAAATTTATTCCCAAAATTAGATTGCGATTTTCATATTTCTTTTTCTCATCATCAACACATGCGTGTATAGTTTAGAAGATAGATGTCGTCGGTAAGTGAAATCAATTACACAAATACACACTCATTTCTCTCTCTCTCTCTTCCTCTCCTCTCCCCTCCATTCCACTCCACATATTCCATCCATCCTACCCCACGCCACCTCTCCTTTCCATCTTCTCCCCAAAAAGGAGAACAACAAAAAGTGAAGGAATAATACATATAATATAGCTTAAATACTCTCATTCTTTACATGCTAGACTCTTATTTTACAAAACAATTATATATTCATCTACTCAAACTTTTTATATCTTTTTATTCTAGATATCACCTCTAATCCTTGTAGTCCTATATTCTATTGACTATTCACTATTATTATTACTTAAACCCCTATATCTCCATCTCCATCTCCATTCTCATCTACTTATACAATCACACATCTACAATCACACATTTACATCTACACACACACTCATTCACATGCACCCACGCCAAACAATCAAAGAATCACCCCAAAACTAAACAAAACAAATAATAAAATCTATGAATAATTTATTACTACCTTCCCACCTCCTACCTCCTACCTCCTACCACCTACCATACTAATCCATCTATCCCAAGCTATTCAATCCCAAGCTATTCAATCCCATCGTATCCCCATGCATACATATATTTAGCAAACCATCCATCAGACCCCATCCATCAAGCTATCCATTTACAACATATGATAATTTTTTATACCCAGCCCATGCACCCATCCACCCATCATAAGTATTTACTTTTATTCTTAGCTCAAGAATTCCCCATAATCATCATTCAAGTCATGATTTCGTGATACAGATCACTCGCATTCATTCCTCCACAATGGAACGAAGAGACTGCCGTGTCTGAATCCATTGGATGTCATATTATACCATGGAATAGAATCCTGTCTGCGCACCAGCCAGACAGGCAAATTACCCATTGATTTACCTCAACATGTCATCGTAACATCATACGAATCTCCAACTACCCAAAAATCATCTATCCATCACAATCCTATCTCACACATCATCTCGACTTATCAATTAAGCTCCCTGAGCCAATTCTTGTAACTTAACCTTCTCCTCATCCGATAAAGCCTCATAAAACTCATTAAATCCTCCTACATTTTCTCTTCCAGCCTTAACAAAGAATTCCGTCAAGTAAGCTTGAGTTTCATCATCTCTGTTTCTTCCAAAACCACCTCTTCCCTCTCCATATGCCATAAGATCTGCCTTTGTACTCGACAAACCTAGATCAAGTACACTTGGAAGATCTTCCCATGAGTCATCATCTCCATCTTCGTCCGCAAATTCTGCTGCTGCTGCTGCTGTTGCTGCATTTTGAAGTCCTGATGCCGACATAAGTTCTTCAATTAAGACTTTGATGATTTTCAACGATGCAGGAATAATAGTGAATTGATCGGGGTCTGATTGTCGTGTTAGTTGTGGTGGGGGCGTGAAGTATGATCCGTCCTTACTGAGTTTGGCCTTAGATCGAGTCATGATCCGATTACTGGTTGGAATGATTAGATCACCCTTAACCATGGTTTGATTAACACGTGGATCATTGAGACTGAAAATTTTGGAGAGTGCGATGACACTATTTATGATTAGCCTTGGACAATGATTGAATCTGCGAACAGAATGGGAAAGAGAAACATACTTTTGTCTAATCTCATCATATCCTGCAAACACAACTGAATGCTCCAACCATTTGCTCAAAACAACTTGTAAACCACTTTGACCATTGATTTCAATTTGGTTCAAGAATTCAACAACATCGTGTGCTCCGACCAAAGATAAGCGAGCGAAAACTAAAATCAAAGATTGGATGAAAGGAGCAGCTTCTGCTGTAGCAAGACGTGTCGCAACAGCTCTCAAGAGTTGTGGTAAGTATGGACCAAGGCGTTCTTGACCAGCTTTCTCAACAAGTTCAGCTGCAAGTCCTCCAACTTCTGAAGCAGAATTATCTTCCACTTCAGGACCAAGTAATCTATCAATAATGATTAGACAAACTTCCAAACCTGTTTTATTGCTTTCATCATGCCAAGCAAAGACTTGCTGATGATCATGCATAAGCATATATTTGATTGCTTCAGCACCTGGTCGTAAAATACCACCTTCAGTTGTGGTCATCAAAAGTCGATTCAACTTAGGTAACACGGCAGCAACATATCCAGCTGGAAGGGGTTCCGATCCATTCTCGGTAAGAATAGTAAGTAGGTCTGCGGCAAGCTAGAAGAAAATATCAGTATCGAGCATGGGAATATCAAAAGCACCAGAAAGTTTTACCTCTACCAAAGGATCATCATCAGTTATAGATCCCACATCAAATGCACCGATCAATGAAGGCAATACTTTGGTACATAAAGCTGTGTAACCCGGCCCACCAGTAAATGACTCAACAATTTCTTCAAATGATTCAGTGACCAACATAGTCAATTGAAAGTTCGAGGCACCATGTTTTGCAAGAACAAACAATAAATCTAGAGCTCCACCTTCATCTGCAAGTGTTACTCTTGTATCCATTTGAATTGCAGATCTCAAAGATTCCACCAAGGTAACCAGAAGATCATCTGCAGATTCAAGTTCTGTAAGATCCTTTGAGTGAAGAAATTCGGATATGGAAGCAATAATTGGAAGTTGTCGATCAGCAGGTACAGTATGAGCTAGAATATATCCTTGTATAGATTTAATGCAAGAAACCTTAACAACTTCGGCCTCATCCACATTGACACCTCTGACTGTACGATCAAGTAATCCAAGAGAAACCTGGGGTATACTTTGTGCAAGGTTACCAGCAACCAGATATCCTCTGGCACGCAATAAGGGCTCTTCCTCTCTGTTGATAGAATAATCGATAAAAGGTAAGAAAGCTTGGGAAACCTCAGGGCGGATCTCTTTGTCGCAATCCAAGAAATCGTTTGTAAGTTGAGTCAGAAGGAATAAAACTGCCTCTCTCAATCTCCATGAAGCGGCGTCCGAGGAAAAGATAATTTGGGTATAGGCCAATAAGCCTTCCAAAGCACCGTGAGACAACCACTCACCAAGTTTGATGAGGAGGTCTCCACAAGACATTCTGAGAGTGTATTGTGTGGTGACAGATGATTCCTCTGCCAAGAATAAATTGACATCGATATCCCATAATTCTTCCTCCTCCTTGAGAATTTGTGCATAGTTTACAGCAAGCTTCATGACATCAACAACCCAAGGGGTCATAGCCGCACCAGCGTTTGCTTGCAATTGACTTTCGAGTTCTTTTTGTACTGGTGGAGCTTTCAAGCATGATTGTAAAAAGTCGAGTTCTTCCAATACCAAGAAATCCAAAGTATATGGCAAATTATCCGCATCCTCCATGCGACCTGGCATATCATTATCGACATACATCTCTTGGAATATAGGTTGTGCGATAGACAATTCTGCCCAAGTAGCGCTGAATAAAACTGGACTTTGTGGAAGTAATAATGTTGGGAATACCGATTTGATCTTCATCAAAGTCTTGACAACTTGTAACTTTAATGCAATAACTCCACGCCATTGTTGATCGACTGGTCCATCCTCTTCAGATTCGTTTGGTGGTGGAGGTAAAGGTTGCTTCATGATAGCCACAAGGAATGGTGTCCAGTCCTTTAGGACCTCCTCTGCAAATGCTTTAACTTCCGTTCCATGTTCGTCCTTGACCATTTCCATAATATCGAAAGTTCCTCGGAAAACGGATACTGATAATGCGCGTAATTTCCCTAGACGTGCCTCATTGACTGCTACACCATAGACCGTATTGACAATATCTCTTGCGACGGAAAAGAATTGATCTTCACTCAAACTTTCCTCGACAACATCTGCTAATACTTTTAATGAGCCATGCAATTGTAAATCTGTGCCGGTTTGAATAATGTGTAGAATAGTTGGGAGGAGATCCGGCCATTGATCTGGATAATCGACATTGGCAATTTTACTAACTACCATACTGTTCATTAAGTTGTAGATTAGTATATGCGCTTCTCACGAGATCAAATGCCCCTCCATCAGCATATCCAAGACCAAGAACATTCAAGGAGAAGTGTTTCCACAAACCTAGCTGCACCCTTAATCTTCCTTGAATCTGTATCACTTGTAGCAATTCCCAGCATTCGTGCTCTAATCTCTGCCTTTGCGCCCTCCTCGATTTGAATGGTAGGGTTGCCATTATCATCATGACCGGTCCAATTCTTGCTAGTAAAGTTCTTTAAATTTAATAAAGCAGCTTGTCGAAGTTCTGAAGGGACGGTAGCATGCGAAGCAATTGATGCAAGCGTGGAAGGAAAAGCTGGATCGGTTTGAGCAGATTTCAGAAAGATTTCAGCTTGTCTGCGGGGTCCATCTGCAGATGATTGTGTGTCTGCTAGTATTTGAAGAAGCTGTGCTTCGTGCTGTGAGGCCATATTTGACTCTTCAAATTAAGAAATCGAATGTAGAAATGAAATAAAATGGAAGAAACAAATGAAGAGGGATTGTAAGGAATTGAGTGACACCTTTTGGAGGGGGGCTTTGTAGAGAATGGGATGAGGGGGGGGGGGGTGAATAAATTTAGGAGAGGGAAGTGATGGAATTTATTCGTAGTCGGTATCACGGTAAAGTTGATCGTCGTGGTTGAAATTCACGTTTGGCAGGTAAATGGACACAAATCATTGGTCGAGATTTTAGAGTTTGGTGGTGGGTAGGTTGGTAGGTAGGTAGGTCGGTAGGTAGGTAACTAGGTCGGTAAATCTTATCGATTAGATTCTTGAGTTTTCCTCCAAAAGATTACTAGGAAACTCTATTTCTCTGATTCCACCATGATTGACATCTTGTTATGCAATTGGAAACAACGAACTTTCCAAAAAGGATTTCAAATACCAAAATAGTCATGTTATGATGGAGTAATGATAACTACTCGATACTACCATATACCGACGGCCAAAGTCCCAAGCAAGCCAGCCAAAATTCCATATCAACCACCCGGCACATTCTCTACCAAGTCGCCCCTCAATCGATAAGCTCTTCTACTATTCCAAAGAGTAGCTCACACAACTCGATAACCATCTTTTCCATCCACAATGCTGGCGCGTCCTCCACCTCTCAGTACCCCTCACTCACTACACACGCATCTCCTCTCCTTCCTCACTCTCTCAATCCATACAATATTACACGCGCGCGGTCTCTATCCTGAAAATACCTTTCTCTTGACGCGCGCTTTCAATTTCCCGTAAGTTTGCTGGTTTCCTTCTTCACGACTCTACTTCCTATCAGTGTGAGGTCTATCTCTATGCCAGATCCTCAATCTCTTCCCTATCTTTTTCCCTCCCCAAACTCCCAAATTAACACTTTTCAGTGTCCCTCAGAACCGCCACCCTGAACTTTGCGCCTACATAAATTCCTGCGTCAGCGCCATAACCCCTCATCTCCAAGCTGGAACCATCAATACCGTCTCCATAGTAATCTATTCCGATTCTCCCGCCGTCGCATCCTCTTCCTCTCCCAACGATATCTCCTCCTCCCCCCCCACAGAACCTTACCCATCTTCCCCCTCAGTCCAAATACTCGAACGCTACATTTTTAATCTTTCCTCTTTTCCCTCCATCCCCTTCAACGAACGCTTTACATTCCTCGAAGGGCGCGCTCCTGCCGATATAAGTACCATTCGCAATGTTGACGTCGAAGAAGAATTACGTGCTTGTTTAAGAAAGCTAGCTTACAGCGCGAGTAAATTGGAAGACTTAAAGAATCCAGAGGAGTGTACGTGGGGAGTTGTTATGGAAATGAAAGAACATGAAGGAGAGGGAAATGCGCCAATTAGACACCCACAGCGCTGGGAACCGGCGGTCGCGGAATTGCAAATCCCAACTGGAGGCGCGACAGATGTAAAAGGAAAGGGAAAAGCCAGAGATGACGAACCGGTAACTAGGAAAGAGAGTAGAGTTGGGAACGCGAGAGGAGGTATAAAGAGTACGGCTATCAGGGCAGTGGAAGTGGGAGATTTCATCATGGAAGCTTGGATCGAAGAAGGAAAAGCCAAGTTTGAGAATCGAGAATGGCGCTCCCAAGATGAGGGTCGGCAACATGAGTATGAATGATGGGTCATCATTACCAGCCAAATGAACGAGATAAAAGGACGTCTACGCCAACAAAACTGGTACTCTCAGAGGAGGAAATCAATCGTAAGATACGTGCGCCATGTAGTTATCAGCCGGCAAATGTAGGTCTCGAAATCGTAAAAGTATCCCTACTTAGCACAATCCTCTACGCAAATGACTGTACTTTATTATGGACATACAACCCCTCAACACAGTCGGAGTATTCTACTCCATCCCTCCCTCAAAACCCGAAAGACTCAATATCTACACCGAGGATCTAATGGGAAGGGATGGGAGTTAAGAAAGGGATTTGAAAATTGAAGCGAGCAGGTATACCTTGGTAGGGTAGTGATACATGCTTGAAGTACGTGCGTAAGAATCCCACTCTGCGTAGAGATTGAAAGATATCCAAATCCATCCATTCCTCGAAACCAAAAAGAAATCATCGATCATCAATCACCACCGCCAAGTACCTACCTACCTACCTACCTAGATAGTATCACCATGTCACAGTCATGAAATATCATACGAGAATTTGAATAATGTAACATCATATTATAATGTATATAATATACGATGAATACCTAAACTAACACTTTTTTTTTTGCAAATATGTATGTTTTTATGTTTGGGTGTTGTATTTGATACCTAAAAATTCGATTCTGATGTATATGCGATATGATATGATATGATTCTAGATATCTCTCTCTCTCTCTATCTTTCGAGCTCTCTCTCTCTCTCTCTCTCTCTCTATCTATCGAGCTATCGAGTCAAAATGTTACTGTTCGCTCCATCCTATTCATCCTATTCGTCTCATCTGTCTAGTGTAGTGTAGTGAAGTAGCGAGATCAAAAGAAATGAAAAGAAATGAAACAATCTGAGATACCGTGGTATGTCATGCCATGCCATGCTCAATGCTAAATGTGATGTAATACGATGTGATGCAATGCAATGTGAAGAGATCCGCTGCCGCCCGCCCATGTCAAAAAGTGAAAAAAGCTAACGCATTTCCCTTCCCTTCCTTTCCTTTCCATTCCGCCGTTCCCCTCGTTACCGTATCCTCTCCTTCTCCAACCTCTCCAACCCCCCACAAACCCAACTAACACCACCCATATTTTTCATTTCCCCACCACTCCACCTCCTCCACCGTCCCCTCTCCCTCCCCATACCACATCAGACTCGCTACACTCTCCTCCTCCCTCTCGACTTTCCGGTGGACCCCCTCCCCCCCCAACTCGGACCTCAATAACAATTCCTCCACCAACCTTGTCGGATTCCAAAACTGCACATCGTTCATTTTCCACTCTCTCGCTTCCCTCTGCGCCTCCCGCAATACCGCTTCTAATTTCTCCGCGTTCGCCGCACTATTCGATTCATCCTCGAGTACTAACCTCAAAATATGTAGACAATTTCCCGAGGAGGGGGAATCAATGGGGCCGTAGTAGCCACGGGTCCAATAGGCCCAGACGCGGGAACCGGGGGTTCCGGCAAGAGCACCTTTGATTTCGGGGGCGCGGCCGAAGATGGAAGTGGACATGACGTTTTCGCGGAGGTGGTGCCATTGGATTGTGGGGTAGTCGGGGAGGAGCGCAATGTGGGTCTTGTGGTCGTTTGCAAGGGAGAGGACGCGGCGGATGTAGGTAGTGTCGAGGTCGCAGAGAGGGGGTATGTCTTCTTCTTTTAGGAGGGTGGTGAGATGTGAGGAAGGGGTGGAATCAGCAGAGTTGGGTAGAGGGGGGAGAGAAATGTGCGAGGAGGGGAAGGGATGCCAGCCGTGGTTTGCGTAGAATTTTTTCCCTATATCTGAGAAGAGGATGGAAGCGGGAGTCTTTTGACGTCCGGGGATATTGGGGTCGAGTTGCCATGTTTTGAGGATGCTGCCCAAGTCCGTCATCATTCGAGAAGCATATTTACGGCCTCGATTTTTGGGAGGACAAAAAACAGATCCAATCGAATGAATGATAACTTCTTCCACTTTTCCTTCTTTAGATATAAAAGCTTTTTTACGGAGGGATTCGCAGGAGGCATAGATTTCCCGGTGATTTGGAGGAGAGGATTTATTGACTAGACACCAGTAGGTTATCCCATCTTCTGAGGTTAAGGGGACGCTGGCGAGATATTGCTCTCGATGAAGATAATCTGATTTAGAAAGTGCTTTGCCCCATTCTTCATAATTGAGATGCCACGTTGCTAGCTTTTCTTCTGGGGTTGGATGAGCCAGATGAAGATCTGGGGAACTGTAATCTGGAAACATGATTGAAGGGTAGGAAAGTAGAATGAATGAAAGGTATCTATTTAGGAAGATAGATGTATGAATAGAAACTTCTTTGTGAGATTTGACACTCTAATAAAGTTATTCTGATCCCTCTATTGTGGGGAATTGAACTTTGATAAGAAGGTAGATATGTGGTAAATCCTAACAAAAGAAAAGTAGATCGATGATAGCATGCATTTCCTGTGGGGAAAGGGTCCTCTTTGAGGGAAGGGATGCAATATCTACCTTCTCAATACGTCTTTTAGGTAAAACCATTAGACTCACTAACGAGCAAACATTGATTCGGAAGTGAAGGATTAGCAATTGGTGAATACTTCCACATCAAATGATCATAATCTCCGCATGAAGCTGAGTTAATCTTAGTCACAGCTCTTGCCTTTCAAGGTATTGATGACTAGGTATCGGTATGTTCAACCATTGACAAGTTCGTATAGAGGAAGTTGATGATTTGATGGTTTGGTGGTTTGGTGGTTAGACTTTGAGGAAGAAGAACGGTGAGATCCGGGGCCGATAATAACCGGATTTATGGAGGCCTAGGCTGAGATATACTTTGCGCTATGTCGATCACGGGATTGTTGGAAACAAGAGAAGCTTCATGATCTTCTTGAATGTTTCTTCAGTTGTTGAATAAGAAGAGATGTTCACCTAGGTAGGTATGTGAGGACATACTTATGACCATGGGTTTCGAATCAAGTTGAAGTTGTACATGTAATAATTCCATATATAACAATCAATTGGAGAAAATTAACTAATTAGATGAAATTGGCCAGGATAAACGGACGGTTAATCTCGGGGAATCGATAGCGATAGCGATAGCGATAATGATAAGAAATATATCATCATGTGAAAACCTGGAGAGAAGATGATCTTTTTTGTAAAAGCATTAGGTAATGAAGGGATCAGAGGGGTCAGAGGGGTCAAGTTTCATAGAGTTAGTGACAATATGAGGTGCATTCACTTCCTTGGTATTGGTGGTATCTAGTAGAATCTCCGATCAAAGACTTCAAGTAATGTAGTCGACAGGTATATTGTTGGTAGTAGATGTAATAGAGATAGAAAGAGAATATCTACTCTGTAGTGAGATTTCAAGGGGTGGCTTCTATTATACTCGATCGCAGTAACTTACCTCGTCTAGCTTGAGTCCACCTGATAGAATGTCTGGAGAATACCATGTGCATTGGTAGGTATGTACTCGAGTATAGATAGATAGATGAATGTCGATAGTAGAGAACATCATCGACAATAGAGAAAGACAGAGATGATGGGTTAAGTGCATCTCCACATTCATTCCCGTCTTGCCAAACCCGAAATGTCTCTCTCTTTCTCTTTCTCCTTCTCCTTCTCCTTTTCTTCCTCTCTCTAAACTCACTCCCAAATCCCGGGTGAAAAGAAGAGAAATGATTCCAAACCACAGTACAATCGATCGACCAAAGTAATTCTGATATTCGTATGGATTTCCCAATTCCTCAGACCTGAGTTATGAGTTGAAGATCTAAATATGTGTAAAGAGTACCAAATTGTCCCGTCTGACAGCACGTACAGCAAGTGCGACGCAAAGAACGTGTTGAATGTTTTCACTGGACCGATTCAATACGATGGTGGCATCCTTCATATGCCGTGTTTGGATACTCCCATCCCCATGAATGAGAGATGCTAAGAAGAATTTCCCGATCAACGATACTGTACATTATCGGATGTCGTATGGGGGTGGAGGATGTTGTGTCTTTTGGGAAGAATCAATTACTTTCTTCACTACATGAGAGATCTCTTTCCAGAATGATTCCATGGGTAATGTGCGTGGGTAATGTGCGTGGGTGAGAATTGAGTGAAGGATTGATGATAGGTAAGAAGATAGGGAGTTTTCATATCTCTATTCTATTCACAATGCTCTGATTAGAGTGAAGTTAGAAAATGATTTGATGATGTAAAATCTAGATTGTGATTGTGATTCTACTCGAATAGTAAACATAAGTCATTGGACACTCGTTGTACGTACCTACGTACCTACACTTCCATTGAATAAGGTTACAGGCCCTTCTAGAAGAATTCCCGTTTGTGTTTCTAGGTACCGTCCCTACACTTCCTATTTCATCCTTCACCCCTTCACATTTCACTTCCGCCCTTCACCTTCACTTTCACTTTCACCCTTCACCTTCACTTTCACCCTTCACCTTCACCCTTCACCTTCACCCTCACCCTCACCCTCACCCTCACCCTCCACACTCTTCTCCCACTTTATCGAGTGATGCATCATTTTCCCAATGTGGGGCTCTTTTTGCTTCTTTCCCCTCGTCCACGTCCACCGACATCCAGATCAGCGACCCTTGCTTGGTCTCAGAGGAACAGTCTGTGCTTCATTTGACAGGACAAGGTAACCTTAGTCAGAGCTCTGACCAACATGGAAATGTGGAAATAAATAGCTACATCGAGAGGATGATCGTAATATCGTAATATCGTTCCTATCCTGCCTATCGACTCTCGAGCTACCCTGGTAAGAGAGGGGAGAAAGGTGGAGAGAATTATCATGTCCAACCTATGATATTGCATCATTTCATTTCTCAATATGCATGCTAGGTAGAGAGGTCTTGTACCTAGCATGGAAATTAAAAATACCGGTAATCATGATGAACCATATATCTTAGCTTCCTCTTCTCAACTCTACCTTCCATTTTCACTCATGTCTGCCTTCACTTCACTCTTGACTCTTCACTCGTCACTCTTCACTCTTCACTCGTCACTCTTCACTCTTCACTCGTCACTCGTCACTCTTCACTCTTCACTCTTCATTCTTCACTCTTCACTCTTCACTCTTCACTCTCTTACTACCTACCTACCGTCTACGAGGCAGGTATGAATAACAACATGACATTTGGGAACATCTTCTTAATCCTAACTCTGTTGGCAAGTTCAACTTCTTCTCTTCTTCATACAGTACTTTCCTATCAAATCAGTCCACAATATACTTGAAACTTGACTTCATTCGTCGTAAGGCTACAATATAACACAATCTAAATTTGGAATACTCTACATACGGTTGCATCATACCTACATATGTTGGACTTCATTCATAACCCCTCACTCTTCCAAAAAGGTACCACTTGACTTATTACCTGCCCAGGTGAATCCCATAATTCTTCACTTTTTCATAACATGATCTTCTTCATTACTTTTCATCTTCTAATCTTGAGACTTTGAGAGTATACATACCTAGCTGTCCTTTCACGTTGATTCTTCCATGCATGGACAGACCATATACTACTAGATATTCTCCGTCGAGTCTCTACTAGTCTAAAAATCACACTCAAAGTCCGATTCCTTTTCGGAATCTGCACATTCACTTCGAGAACCGGATTCGATCCACCCAAAGCTTGAAAGAAGAATCTACTAACGTCGGATCATCTACTAGTACACTCCTAGTGCCATTACGGTAGATTCTATAGAGCGTCACTCGGCTCACCAGTTCTCCTTACTTGATATTCACCCCACTACCTACCCTCGACAAGTTCAAACGTCTTGAATATGCAAACGATCATTCTCACGACACTCTTTACCAATATTCCCTCTTCAACAATCTACATTATTCCAAAAAAACCAACTACCCAAGAATTCATTATATTGACCAACCGCCAACCGCCAACCGCCAATCAATTCACTGTGTCGACATGAGTCAAGCAGCTCCAGTGAACCATACAAATGGTCCACCGAGAGGTCAACAACCCTATATTCAAAATGGAGTGAATAACGTTATCGAGATTTCGGATTCGGACTCCGAAGACTATGAAGATCCTTTTGATGTACCTCAAGTCCCCGCACACTCCCCACATCTAAATTTACAACACCATCAACTTGGAGGATATTTTGGTGCCAATAACCAAATATTTGATCTCGAGGATAATAACCCAATGAACCCAGGTCGATTACCTCAACCTGCAGTGGCAGCGGCACCCGAAAATAAAGCAATGGCCAGAGATCCCTCTTTTGTCAAGAGTGAAGAAGGGGAAATGAATTGGGCTCAGTGGATGGATGAGGAAAATGATGAAGGTATCAATCGTGTACTGTTGGAAGATTATACCTTTCGAGCGGAATACAATCGAGCTTCACACCCTTCTCCTTCGTTTGTTGATCCTTCACGTCTCCATCAACCTTTTCCACCACCACCAAACAATTCACATCAACCTATCATGGAAACAAAGACGGAATGTATTGATGCAGTTGTTGCTGTCTTCCCAGAGATTTGTAGGGATCATGTCGCTGGTCTATATGAAAAGGTATCTCTCACTTCTGATCGATTGATTGCTCACATACTGGATCAAGCGGATACTGGAACTCCTTACCCAAAAGCAAAAGATGTCCAGAAGCAATTGAAGAGAAAGAGAGTGCTCACCGAAGAAGAGGAAGCTATACAAAAATATGAAGCTGTCGGTCGCATCGTTGGCCCTGCTTTATATTTGGAGCGGACACTAATGTGAGTATATATATGCTTCATCTCAATTACTCATCCACTGCCTCATCTTATTCTTCCTTTGCTAACATTCACCTAGTCGGAGCATCCTTTCATTTGAGTTTCCAGTAACTCCATTGGCCTTTATAGATGAAACACTCCGTTCTACTGGTCATCGCCTTTTCTCCGCCTATCGCACACTCGAGGAAGCAGATCGAACTTTTGATGCTCATAATCCACCATATAGGAGAATTAAAACTCCAAGAAAAATGCCACATGAATACCGAGATGGTAGAATTGAGGAAGCCATTCAAAAGAATGAATCACCTGAGAAGACGGAGACTTTAAAAGAACTACTCGTATGTCGGAAGATTCGAAAGACTGCAGAAAGTCGTCGCCTCGCCGAACAAGAAGCAATTCTCGCCGAAGAAGAGAATCTCAAGAGAGCTGAAGCCGAGGGAACCATGTCAGAATGCTGCTGTTGCTTTTCGGACTACCCACTCAATCGTATGGTGCATTGCAACAGTGAAGAAGTCCTACACTGGTTTTGCCGTGGATGTGCACGACAATCAGCGGAGACCGAAATCGGAAATTCTAAATATCTACTCATGTGTATGTCCACGGATGGATGTGAAGCGGGATTTTCTCTTGAACAGAGGTGAGTATTCTTAATCATTAGCTCTTTAGATATATACTTATCTATCACAGAAATCAATTCCTAGACGAATTAACCATCGTCGCCTTGGAACGTAACGAAGCAGAAGCGGTCTTACGAATGGCTGGTATCGAAAATCTTGCCAGTTGTCCATTTTGTCCATTCGCAGCAGAATATCCTCCTGTCGAAGTTGATCGAGAATTTCGATGTCAAGCTCCTGATTGCGAAAAGGTCAGTTGTCGACTTTGTAAATTGGAGTCACATATTCCTATGACTTGTGAAGAAAATACCAGGGCAAATGGTCTCTCGATCAGACGACAAATTGAGGAAGCAATGTCTGCAGCAATGATCAGGACTTGTAACAAATGTGGTACTCCATTTGTAAAGGAAGAAGGTTGCAACAAAATGACATGCACACGCAATGGATGTTATAACGTCCAATGCTATGTTTGTTCTAAATCATGCAATTACGATCATTTTAATGATGTAAGGAGAGGTGGTAAAGACGGAAATTGTCCACTATTTGAATCAGTGGAGGAACGACACAATGAGGAAGTTAAGAAGGCTGAAAAAGAAGCACTGAATAAAGTTCGAGCAGAACATCCTGAATATTCCGAGGAGGACTTGAGAGTTAAGATGTCGGAAAATGTCACCAAGGATGATGAAAGAAGAAAGGCCACGGATCCAAGAAACCCTTGGGCCATTTATCGACCGGTAGCAATGGGTTAGTACTTCGTAATGATTTTTTGTCGTTAATTGATACCATAATGTTACACGATCTTTGGCTTTTGGCAATGGGTGGGTAAATCTTAGAAATAGTATTCTATTCTTTCTTCTTTTGAAATCAGATACTAGATAGTAAGATAAATACCATCACCAAAGGCTTTGGATCGGATGGATATTATGTGGTTATTCTTGCTTCCCTTGGAGTAATCATTTGATTGCGATGCATGCACATCGCAACAAAACTAAACATCAATGCATATTTGCTGACTAATGAGTACACAGCACAACCACAAGAACAAGGAGCATGGCCTCGTGATCATGGTGAGTTTTATTCGTTTTTGGTTTTTTTTTGGTTTTCTGGTTTTTTGGTTCTTTCTGGAGGGGAAGGGGAGGAGGAGAGGGGGTTTTGGCGATCTAAAAATGGTGGTCACTAAATATATGTGTACTTTTTTATAGTTCTGAAAGGGGTGGTTTCAAAGTTGAAACAGAAAGTTGAGACGTTTTTGGGGGGGGATTGAGGGGAAGGGTTAGAGGGGTGGAAAATTGAGGTGGATTGAGGTAGATAGGTATATTGAGAGATGGGGGGGGGGGGATTGTCTTGGATATTTTTCTTTTCTTTTCATTTTTTGGTTCTTGGATATAGAGAGGGAGGGAAGGATGTGGTGCAGAAGTTTCTGTTTCTCTTTCTCTTTGGAAAGACATACTAATTTGTTGTGCGATGGTAGAGCTGTTTATGCATCGTGGGCGTATGTTTCAGGATAGGCTTAGGAGGCACCGTCAAAATATCAGAAGGGTTTTGAGAGGAGAGGGTGGAGGGGATAGAGAAGATGGAGAAGGAGATGAAGAATTATTTCTCCAGAACATGGAAGATGATATGCTTGGGGCACCGCGGCCTGCGAATGGTGGTGGGGATGAAGGTGGAGGTGAAGGTGAGAATGGGGATGAGGATGAGAAAATGGATGAGGATGAAGGGGAGATACAACCTGGACTCCCTGCTCAGCAAATGGAGGCGAATTACTGGAATCAACCTTTCGCTCCACTTGCTCGTCATTACCTCGAAGATGCGAGAGCGATGTTTGGAAATGTGGAGAGGGAAGGTCCAGTGGTCCTTCCGGGATTATTTCCGGCTCGTGTTCCGGTTCCGGCTGCGGTGTTGCAAGAATATGCTCGGGTTCCAGGCCCGATTGCAGCTCCAGCTCCAGCTCCAGCTCCGGTTCTAGCTCCAGCTCCGGTTCCAGCTGGAGCTCGAGCTCCAGGTTCAGGTTTAGATCTAGGTCCAGCTCGAGTTCCACTTCACTTACCCAATCCAAAACTAGAACACAGACAGCGACATCTGATTGCGGATTTGCAAAGGCAAAAATTGTTGTTGATGAGAAAGGTTCATGGTCGGAATGGGGGAGTACAGGCTGGTGCTTTTGAGAGGAGGGGGTTGAGGGGTCTGGCGGGTCAGATTGATGAAGTTCTGGAAGCTGAGGATGAGGGAGAGGATGAGGATGGAAAGAAGAAGGAGAAGGAGAAGCTTCCTATTCCTCAAATGCCCCAGGCCCCACTTATTGTTGCGAGGAAGGGAGATGAGAGAGATGGAGGTGAGCTACAGGGAGAGTTGAGAGAAGAACAAGACTTGCTAGGTGAAGACAGAGAAGAGATTATGAATCTACCAAGTCCTGTTTTACCGATTGCTCTAGCGCAACCGGGTGGTGCGAGAATGGGTGAACGAAATCGAGAAAGAGGAAGAGAAGCTCAGGAAGTTGTTATACGACTTCGTGAGAGGTATGGTTTAGGGGGTGAAGATGGCGATGGAAATGGAAATGTAGATGGAAATGAGAATATTCTTCTCCCAGGCCCTGGTCCACGGAATGGAGGTGGACATGCAGAGATGGACGATGCCCAAAGGATAGAAATGTATTTAGAAAGGCTTCGACGATTACACGGATTCAATCACCCTCAAAATGCGAATGGAAATGGGGATGCAGATGCGGCTGCAGAGAGGGAGAGGGAGAGACATCAACAAAGAGAAGTCCAGCAAGTTGTTCGACTTCGTGAAAGAAATCGAGAAAGAGAAGGAGAAATTGCTCGACTTCGTCAACGGTATCTTTTTCAATATGCGAATGGAGATGGGAATGAGAATGGAAATAACCAATTTCCCAATTATCCTCCTCTACCTTTTCCTCGTCCTCGATCTCCAGTTGCTGGACCCCCTCGTTTGGGAGGTTTGAATGTAGGAGAATGGATAGACATTGGGGATCCTCCTGCTGCTATTCTTGCTCCTCCTGGTGCTGCTCTTCCTCCTCCTGGTGCTCTTCCTCTTTTGGTACAGTATGCAAATCAATTTGGCAGGGATCCAGATGGTTTTGCTGGACATCGCAGACCAAGAGGAGGGATCGATATGGGAGTTTTTGCTTTTGGACATGAAGGTGAAGGGAGAGATGGAGATGTAAATGCAGATCTCGAAGAGCATTTTCTCCCTGGTATGGATCCGTATGGTGTTTTGAGGGAATTGAGGAGGAAGAGAGAGGTGGAGAGGGGACTTATTGAGGGGATTCCGATGCCGGAGGAGGATGTGTTTAGTGATGAGGAGGGTGGGGGTTGGTGAGTTGGGGGAGAGGGAGGGGAAAGGGGATGGAAAGTGAATGGAAAGTGAGGAAGAGGGATTGTATAATTTGGAGATTGATAGTGGGAATTGGGGATGAAGTCGGGGTTGAGGTTGGGAGAATGCAGAAATTTGCTGAATATTAGTATAAGCTGGCTGGTAATGATGGATATCTGGCTCTCTCGCTTCCTGCTCCCTCGTTCTCCCTTTTTTCTGCAGATAGATGCACCGACAGACCGACAGACAGATGTAAAGACAGACAGGTAGATATATAAATAATTAGATTGATAAAAAAAATGAATAAAACAGATTCACAAACAAATTCATAGGATTGCAGGTTTCTGAAGGCTAGAGATGGAGATGGATTGGAGAATGAAGAGAATGAAGAGAATGAAGAGAATGAAGAGAATGAAGATTAATTATACGATTAATACTAGAAATAGTACTTTTTTATGTGTTGATATTTAAAATGTTTAAATTGATATTTCTTTTTTTTTTTAGATTGGTATTTTTGATATTTTTGTTCTGAATATATTTTCCAAAAATGATTTTTTTGTTTTAAATTCTTTTTCATTATTTTAATCTTGAAATTAAAAATTGAAAATTATAATATTCTAGATTTATTTTTAAAACAATTTAATTTCAAAAAGAAATATTTCTTTATTAAACAAATTAGTAAAATAAAATAATTTTATTAAATCATATTTTAAATCATGTTTTAAATTATATTTTAAATCATATTTTAAATCATATTTTAAACTTTATTTCAAACTTTATTTCAAACTTTAATTTTTAATTAAATAATAGTATATTATAAGATATAGAATTATGAAATAAATCTTCATTTTTCATTTTTCATTTTGATATTAAAATATTCTTCTTTTATTTTGAAATGAGAATAGTATTTTCTTAATTTTTAAGATTAAAATAATTTTTAATAAGAAGTTGAAATTGAGAATAAAAATATCATTTTTTGAAAGTATTTAAAACAAAAATATTAAAATTGTTAGTTTTAAAAAAAGAAAGATTAATTATAACATTTTAGATATTAATATATAAAAAAGTACTATTTCTAGTATTTATCGATTATAACTATAGTATTAGCGTACTACTACTAGTTACTTATTAAAATCATACCTAAAAAAGCTATTTTACTACTTTTGTTGTATAATAGTAGTAGTAAATTCTTAATTAATTCAATCTATCTATAGTCAAGCTACGCTAACTATATAATACACCTAAATATATTTAATTATATAAAGTAAATAGAAAAAAATAATAGAACCTACTCCCTCTTAGAGCCCGTTTAAGTTTATTATAATAAAGTCCTATTATATCAATTATATATATAACTCATAATATCTATACTTTCGAAAACAATTAATATAATACTTCATTTTCAATCTATAAGTTAGTAATATATATACTACAAATACTCTTTAAGGTATTAAAAATTTCCTTCCCCTTTCATCATCGCATCGTTATATATTACTTCTCTTTTTTTACATAATTCTATTATTATCTATTATCATTCTATAGTAACTATATCTTTATTTACTTCTTTTCTTTCTTATTGTTTTCTTTTATAATACGTTTTATTTAATCTTTTATATATAATTCGTTTATTCTTTATATTATAGTATGTTAGTTATAATTCTTATATCTTTTAAGTATTTTTCTCTTTATTATCTATAAAATCAATAATTTTATTTAAATATTTTATTTAAATTTTAATATATATATTATTTCGATATTAATATTTAATAAAATCATATTTTTAATACTTTTTAGATCTTTTTAAATTGTTAATTATATTGTTTAAAAATCTAATTATAAAAGTTTATTATTTTCGCTTATTTTACTAATAAATTTTAGTATTTTGATTTTTTTTTCTTTTAGTTTTAACTTATTACTCTTTAATATAGAAAATGATTAAAAATAAATTATATAATTTTTAATAGATTCTATTTGATTTTTAATCTAATTATATAATTGTTTATATAAACTATTGATTTTACAATCTAAAAATTAAAAGTATATTTGATAAGATTTGATAAATTTTGGTGTGATTCTGACAGGTGGCTAGTAGCAGTACATGGTGACTATATAATGTTGTTTAGAGGGGATAAATATCGAGGATGGTTAGAGAAAGCTCTCAGGCGAGGTATATGAAATTACTTCTTTTGTGAATTTGTTCATTTTGATTGATGCGTGGCAGATGCCTTTCTTGTGCGGTGAAAGTTTCGCTTTGATGTTTGAAGAAAGTGGTGAGATGTAAGTACAGGATTCTAATGTCGAATCCTGATAACTATCGAGTCAGTCGAGTTCCCAGACAGACAATTTGAGTTTGGGTCAAATATGCTAGACTTATAAATCATGGGGTTGGCAGACATAATGTACGAGATTCACGAGCGGTCGTGAATATACCAGAGCGGTGTTAGGGCGATACCAAAATCATGCACATTTTTAAACCTATATACTGCACACACAAATTTGGATGTGCTTTGTCTACAAACTTTCGTGGAGTTTACTCAAGAAACAGAAGCGAAGAAGTTCGTTGCTACTAGGTACTTGCTATCTGTTGGGACTAAGCAGAATGGATCTGATTGATTAATAGTCCGTCAATCCATGAACATCGGACCAAGTTGGTAAATGGGTAAATGTAACACGATATCCTTCCCCGGCACAACTCCCAATTGATTGAACTTCTCCACTTCGATGCTGCACCACCAAAATGTGGCGTGTGATTTTGAAGTAAAAATTCCACGGTCATGTGCGTGTATCTCTCGCGAAGAGCCCCCTTTCCCCACTCGATAAGCGAGCGACTAGTATCACTAGTGTCATTGCCAGAATTTCCTTGGTCATTACCATTTCTCTTCTTGCTTATCATCGTCAAGATGAGACTAGCAGCAGATAGAGCTCTAGTATGAAAATACTTCCAGGTTATGAGCTTTTGTTGAGTATGGAGCCCGAAGATAGAGTGTTGCTGGATGAACCATCAGGAAACTTGAGAGCTCGGTGATCATGACTTGGATGATGACAAGACAGATAGAAGGCGAAATGTAATAAGAGAATAGTGGAGTGGTGGAATAGTGAGAAGTAGCATACTTTGAGTCCCGTAAGCATAGCTCCGTCTCGTGATTTATGCATCCCCGCTTTTGCCGTTGAAGACCAAACGTGATCCAAAAGAGACGTTTTCCCCCAAAACCCCACGCGCTCATACCTGTTTGGGAGACTTTCATAAGGGACGAAAATAATCGGCCCCACCGATAGACATCGCGTTATATTGACTATCAATGGACCAATGACCCCTTCTATCCTCGTGAGTCTAAAAGCAGACATCTACATTATTGTCGTCAACATTATCTCCTATGATCTTAAAGGGGTCATTGGTATTATCGTTCTATACATTAGTAACACGAAAACCTATAATCTTAAGTATTATTAGGACATACGATAGTTTGTTGCTTTAGTTCCTTGTTGACTTTATTGTAAAGCCAAAACTCCACTTTCTCGAGATGGGTTTTTTCTGGGAGGCTGGGAGTTCTCGGAAATGTAATCGAAATTGAATGTATTGTTTCATTCTAAAGATTATCACTTATACAATTTCCTGATTCGATAAGCTTTGGTTTTTGTTTCTAGACCGCGTACTGTCTTACCGACTCGGAATAGTGTTGCGGACACATTGAAACCGGCGTTGACTTCTCTTTGAATTTCAACTTCGTTCGAAATGGTGATGAGTTCATACTCAATATCGGGACTAACATCGGAGATTTAGGCGTCAAATATCTCTAGAGCTGACGTAAAGGCCTGACATCGTAATGGATTCTAAGCAGCTTCGATCCGATATCTCAAGCTGTCCCAAGTCGTTTGCAGCATTATGTTAGTAGACATTCCGAAGAAAAGTGATAAAAACGCGGCAGGGATAAACCGCAATAAAGAATTATGGGTATAGTGAAGTTGGTCTTATTGATTTGAGGTTGATGGGCATCGCGAGAATTCTTTTCAAGAGTGTAAGCGACTCCCTATGACATCAAGACGCTAAATCGTCAGCTTTCCACAACCGGAGTACGCCGATAGCGGTGACACAAATTCTCTCCGGCGCGAGAGATTTGTTATGAGTCCAGTCCAAACTCATCAGTCGAGCTCTGGAGCCTGAAGTCCCAGTTGTTAAGCTCCAAATTAATTTTGTTTGCCTACAAAAAAGGGAGTTGGCACATGGAATGCGCCAATGGAGGCTGCTAGCTCCTTATTGAAGATTTGAAACGATCTGGCAAATTGAAACAGAGAAAGACACAAGTATGAGATATATCTTTACCTATGTTCGATAGATTCAAACATTGTAAAATCTATTGAAACCCCCAAATATATACTTCCGCATCCAAGGCAGTACACACAATATATTAATTAAGTCAAATGTGAGACACCGTTAAAACGACATCGTACTCTCCTCAAAAGTAATCAGGGGCTTTGACGTCCATTCCATATCTTCCAGACGAGCATATCCAAGTTTTCGTAGCCGTACAATGACCTTGCGACAATCATTTGCCAGTTCTCTGACCAGTACGTGTAAGAATGTTGCTCGATAGTGCTTTTTCGCTATTTGTGTTGGTCGGCGACCATACAGGTTCTTCACAATCTCAGTCACTTGATCTTCATCGCTGTGTAAGTTAGCGATACCGTTAGACTTCATAAAGCACAAGGCTATATAGTACACTATCTTTTCGAGGTCTTTATTGACCTTGTTATTGATAATCAAAACTGTAAGTCGATGATTAGCAATAATGATTTTGATATTGACTAAGAAGCAGTGTCGAAGTGCGATAATTCAAGAGGGTGTGAGGGATAGTTTAACATATTGTTCTGTGACTCCGCCTTTTCGAGAAATTTGATGAAAGTAATAGAAGATCCGGCTCCGATTGCAGCACCACCTGCCATAGTTGTAAAAGCGGCTCCAGACGATAATGCTGCTTGAGTGGCTGTTAGAGTATCAGTTTCAGCTACCGCGGCAGTCCCGCCTGCGACACCAACGCTTGTACTGCCCATAGCTGACCCAGCAAGGGCCGCGGCCGTGGCCGCAACGGGTGCGACACAGAATAGAATGCCCCCGACAACGAGAGTACTGATACCACCAACAGCAATGGTGCCCCATACATATTTCTGTTGTGCCTTCTTATCTGCGAGTAAGATCAGAACAGCAGTAAGCCCTGGTGTCCTTCGTTTAAGCTGGTATATCTTTGAAAGCACGTCGCAAGTTTGACGAGGAGATGGCTCCCTCGACTCTGTTTTGAACACAACATATCAGAATGAAGCTACTAACAAGACGTTCCGTAAAATTTTACATACTGGTATCCATAGCCATGTTCTCCAAAGCGTCCAAAACTTCTTCCATACATCTTACCACTGACGGGGTATATTGATGAACTAAATCATCGACAGTAGATCGATCGAGATCTTGCAACAAAAGACGCTGCTAATAGTTAGATTGAAATTTCCGTCTTTACTGGTTCTACATGCTCAGGGGAAAAACCATTTCCATTAGATCAGGTAACACCCCAGCTGCTGCTTGTGCGGCGGCCAGTAGGCTGCGCAACGGGTACCCGCGGGACGGATAATGGCCTCGACAGATAATCCGCGGATAATCCGTCTGCGGAGCGGATAATTTAGAATCTGGACGGGTAACCCGTGGGGCGGGTACAAATTACCCGTGGATATCCACTTACCTATATATTATATAACTATTCATAATCTTTTATAATATTAGTATAATTTTATGATTAATATAAAAATTAATATAAATCTAAGCTTGGATTACTTTTAGACTGGAAAATAATCTGGGAATAGCTTCATATTTTAAGCGAATCTCTACTTTTTTCAGAGAATCTATATATCCACAGATTATTTATAAATAATCCACAGATAATCCGTCTATTTATATACTTACAGATTATTTACAGATAATCTATAGATTACTTATACAGAGCAGGTAATTTTAAAGCCTCAACAGATAATCCATAGAGCAAATAGAACCTCTGATAGATAACCTGTAGAGTGGATTATCTACAGATAATCCACAGGTACAGATAATTTGTGCGCAGCCTAGTGGCCAGTCCTATGTTGGCATTGGAATTTGGAAAACTATATATTCTATTATTTTTAGTAATATATGGAATTGTATCCTGGACTTTTGCTGGGCGGAAGAATAGATAGATGGATAGTATAGGTTGATTGTCATATATATACATATAGACAAATATATCATATACCCTATATGATGACATTTCGTACTTGACAAAGCGATCGCTTCATCAATACAAGAAAAACTTTAATACTTTCATAATACATTGAGAAAATGGTTTTTATAGTATTAATCTGATTAAGCTTTTTGTTGTATATAATATAGCTTATTCTAATCAATAAGGTCTTGATGAATTTCTTGAATTTTAAAAGTTTTATCGAAAACTTTAGCTTAAGACAATAATTTGATATATAAAAAGTTTCTAGATTTTACTTGTTTTTCGATCCCCTTTCCCCTTTCCTCTTTCCCCTTTAAAGTCTTTCTTTCGAATCTATATAAGAATTTTTCTATAATTAGATACACTTGGGCGCATCGCATTGTCAGTGTAGCTTAGCCATAGCTAGACTGAATCGATTAAGGATTTACTACCACTACTATAAGAATTATATTTACTTTTATATTTTAAATAAATAAGAAAGTTATTCATTTACTAATATAATAACATGAAGCTTTTAATAATTAGTAATAATATAATATACAGTATAAAGATTTTCAAAATAAACTCGAATTCTTATTCGAATTTAATTATATATATATTAGAAATAAATTGAATTCTTGTTTATAGTACTAGAGTATAGATAATAACCGCTTATCTTAATCATACTAAAAATAGCGATTTAATAGATCTTATATAGTAATTTATTAGTATTTATAATTATATTTTTTAATTGAAACTTTTCAAATGAGTTATTTATATAATAAAGGCTTATATTTTTTAGTTTTTAGTTTTGATATAAATCATGAAATTGTTATTTTATAATTAAAATAAAATCTTATAAAAGTTCTTCAAATTTCGCTTATTTTACTAGTAAATTCTAAAATTTTCAAATTATTATATTTCAAAGCTGTATAATATGATCGATAAAAATCCTAAAAATAAACTATTCATTTTTTTAAAATCTATAACTAGAACTCAATAGAATTCTATAAGTATATATAATTAACTCAGATATAATTGTTATCGGAACATACGATCACGTGCTTAAGCGAATCACATGATTCTTCTCTTTCTTATAAGAAAGAGAAGAATTACATCTTTATATAAATCATCTTTATTATATTTATGTATGTCGGAACACGTGACCAACAACGTGACATTACATGTCACGCTTTACTTTACATATGCATGAAATGTGTAAGTAGGGGTAGTACACATATATAGATATAGCAATTCCCTCTTCATATAAAGAGGATAAATAGAAATAAACAACCTTTTTAACTATACATATTATATATACACACCTTACCAAGTCTGCCCAATAATATATTTTATATAGACTTTTATAAAACTTTATTTAGTAATATAGATTCAAATTCCCCTTTTCAAATAATTCAAATATTAATTAATATTTACCTTTACTTAAAGATATTTACAAATTAAACTATTATTCTAAAGATTTATATTAAAACATTTATATAAAAAGTAAGATAATAGTTTTAATTATTTGTATTGATATTATCACGGGGATAATGAAGTCAATATAGTACTATGGTTCATATTATTATTATATTGCTTGAGGTTTTAAAAGCTAGGCTTACGAAATATATTATTATAATATCGGAAGATACTAACATAGTTTATCAGTGGGTCGGCTATATCAATGAATCGGTTACTTTTATCTTGAATTATTATTTTATATTTAATATACATTTTCTTTATAATTAATTATAAAAATTCATTTTAAAGAAATATATATAATCTTATTATTTAAGCTATTAAATCAAATAAAAAATTATCAATTCAAAAAGTAGCTTAATTTTATTATATATTTTGAATTATATTAAGTAATAGAATTTAAAATAAATCTAATATGATTAAAAATTAATTAAAAAGTTATAATTTAATTGAATTAAAAGAGAAGGTATTTATTCAATATATTCTTAATATGAATTTGAAAGATTTTTTATTTAAATTTAAGAATATAGAAAATATAATGAATTATATTCTTAAATCAAAAGATATAAAATATATTAAAAAACTTTAGGTATATTAATTTGTAAAGTATTGAATTGAATTAAAAATATATTTTAATTATATTTATAATTTTCAAAAAACTTTTTGTAAGGATTTTAAGCTTATTGAAAAATGATTTCAATTAATTATAAATATATAAGTAAAATATAACATTTTGAATAAAGATTTTTATAATTTTGATGAAACAGACTTTATAATAGGAATTATATATATAGTAATAATTATTATTAATACTAAGAAATATAGTAAAAATAAATTTATATAATTAGATAATTGAGAATGAGCTATAATAATAATATATGAAAATAAAGAGAACAAAATTATTCTCTTATTTCTAATAATTTAGGAATAGATTCATTTTTTCAATTAGTATATCGAAATTGATCTTCTTATAAAATAGATTATTAAATCTATATCTAATAAATAAACAAATAATGAAATAGATTTAAAATAATTAAAATATTTTAATAAGTATATTAAAAATTAAAGAAAGAGTAAATATCGAATATTAATATTAGATGGGTATAAAAGTTATAAATTAATAGTTTTTTAAATATACTATAAAGAAAATAATATTATATATTTATATTTATTATTATATTTAAATTATTTAATTCAATTACTTAATATTAATTGTTTTAGTAATTTAAAACGTTCATATAGTGGTTAAATTGATGGATTTATTAAAATATATATTAATTATATTTCAAAGATTGAATTCTTTATAGCTTTTAAAGTTATATGTTATAAGGAATCAATTATTTTTTAAAATATGAAATTAGGATTTCAAGGAATAAGTTTAATCTTATTCAATTTTGAAGCTATATTCTTGAAATTAGATATTCGAATTTGTATATCTACTCTCCCCTTTTTCAATTTAAATCAATAAATCTTTTAAATCCTTTAAATCCTTTATAATCTAATTAAAGCTCTTTTTTAATCAATATTAATTAAATCTCGAATAACTTGTTATCAAGTAAGTTTCCCTATATTTATATTTGATATTATATTAATTCTAATTAAAGATATAAAAAGATTAGCTTATAAAAACATACTTTTAAATATAAAGAATTATATATTTTAAACAGTAAATAAAGTATTAAATAAATATTAATATAAAAAAAAACCTAATTATATTAAAAAGAAACATTTATCAAATAAAAGGCTTTTGATATATTATTTTAATAAGAGATTGATATTTAGATTTAATATAATAAGTATTAAAAAGGAGGAAATTCTAATAAGAAAGTATTTTCTAATCGATATTGTAGTAAATATAGAAAGATAGATTACAATATAAGAATCTGTTAAAATAATATAATAAATTCTAGATTATTAGATTCTTAATAGTTTTAATTAATTGATTTAATTGTTGTTAAATAATATAGCTTTGAAGTGACAATTCGAGGTAAAAGTGGCCGATCCACTAATATAACCGACCCACTGATAAACTACGTTAGCATTAATGCTAGTATAATTATATAATCTTTATCCTAATATTAACAACTCTTTAAAATCACTAGATCATATCCTTCTAACTAATACCTCTTTTGCCTATATAACTACCCATCCTTTTAATCTCTTTCAATTTATTTTATAATTTTAATCTTTATAGTATTATTATTAATTAAGTTTTTTAGGGTTTAATATAGCTTGGATTTAATTATTATATTTATAAGATTAGAATCTTTATTCATTTATTTGATCTTTATAATCTCTTATTTCTTATATACTTTTTGGATTATTGTTATATTAATTATTAATCTCTTTTTATTAATAATTTTAAGTTTTATAAAATAGTTATAAAATGATTTAGAATTGATATATATAATTAATTGTTACGAGAGCTACCTCTAGGGTCATATGGAAGTGTTTAGAGATCTCTTGAGGTAGTTTAGACTAGACTTCAAATAGAAATTCAATGAGGTTATAACTATTACAATTCTTATAACTATAATAATGAAACTAATAATTATTCTTAAGCATGAAGCTCTATATTATAATGAAACTTATTCCCTTATATAAACCTTCGTTCTTTATTATTTTATTAATCCTATTATATCCTATTAGATAAGAGTAATAGGATTTAATAGAAGTCTCTAATCCTATGACTTTCTAATTATATAATATAATATATTGAATACTATCCCCTTCCTAACTTAATACTTATCTCAAGCATTTATAAAGTAAGTTTTCCCTATTTGACTAATTCTGTAATACCTTCCTTTCTGTTTGTTATAATATCCGCTATTCGTTTTTT